TTTTATCGAGTTGTCTGTACGCGTAACTATCGGTTCCGCCGTCTTTGGCCACAATCAGGTTCTGGTCCTCAACTTTCTGTTCGTAATACTTGTTATATCTGTTCATCTCTTCCCGAAGTTTAGTCCTCTCCTACACAACACAACACAAATCAATAGAGATAACAAAAATGACACAATATTTTGCTAAATACCGCCAATAAAAGGTCGTATGGATTAATCAGTTTGTCGTCCTTTTTGTCAATCCCTTTCTTGGGAGAGGACTGAGCGGGAGATCTAGCGATCGGTACTTTCAATAGATTAGATGATAAGCTCTTTCTCGGCACCGGTTTTGATGATTTCATTAAATTGGTTTGAGATCCTTTTGAAGGTATGATAGGTTCGTATATTATCTCATTTTGTGGCCACGGAGTCATTTGATGGATAGGCGGAGCACTCCATGCTTTAAAAACAATTTCAAATTATATTTAATAATCAATTAAATGCCATCAAAATGAGTGCAAACCCTGGGCTCCCATTGGGTGCATCACTGCCATAGGATTCATAAGAGTTTGGTATCCGGGCATTGGATTCACGTGTCTGTCCACTGGACGCGGACTCAGGCATCTCTCTGGTGTACGACTTCTTCGTCGACCTCTGCTATCACTAGGACTACGACTTCGCAAATACCTCTCTCGGCTCCGACTTCGGCTCCGACGACGGTCTCTATAACGCGGAGATATAGACCTCCGCCGCGGGCTTATAGACCGTCGTCGAGGACTTAGCGGTGAGCGCCGTCTCGGACTAAGAGACGGACTTCTTCTACGCATACGCTTAGGACTCGATTCGGGAGATAATCGTCGACTGCTTTTCGGGAGTCGTTCCGGCGATTGAAGTATTCCCGCGTGAATGGCAGCCATTTGTTGGATTCGCACTCTTTCCACGTCCAGAGAGTCTTCGGGAGTGGGACTCGGATTCCGGAGTTGTCTGTATTTTCTTTTATACATCTCCTCCTCTTCTGCCCAATCGTTTTGGCGCTTTTGCTGATCATCTGATCCCATAATATAACAAATATTAGATTCACTTATAACTCAAACTTTGCAAAAATTACATAAACTGTTGCCAACGTTTGGTGTCCAACGACTGTCATCTCTTAGATGAGAAGTGCTCTGACTTTTGTCCATATTTTCCATCTCTTGTTTGAGTCTCAGAGAAATGGGTGACAAAACCCGTTCAACGGTCGCAGTGCTCGTCGGCTCCATTGGTGGACCCCTTGACTGATACGCTCCAGA